CGACCCCCCCTTCATTTCGTGCTCGGCAAGCCTGCCACCGCGTACCGGATATGTTGGCGATGTTACAGAACGCTGCACCTTGGTTTCTGTGCGCATTGCGTACATTGCTCGACCCCGCCGACCAAAACTACATGTGCCCAACTGAAGACATTCCCGGTGGTTGTGCAGCAGCTCTTGAGGCTGTTGCTGGCTGAAATCCATCCTGAGCTGTTGCAACACGGCTAACGCGGGCACGTCCTATGCACACAGCAAATAGCTGTTCCAAGCCAACAGCGGCGTCCATGTCACCGACAAGGCTCTAAACGTCTTATCTGTTCTTATGTTTAATTAAGTTTATGTATGTTATACTTTGCGCAACTTTGTAATTTGACTTTACTCTGAACAAGGTGCTGCATACAACTGCCTCTTCGCCAGCGCTTCATCTTCCGCGGCAGTTTCACGAGCCCAGAGCTGCAAGCTACGACGTTGGCTTTCGGTGCTTTTATTTACTGCAAAGCATCCACGCAATAGTCCAGCGTGCGGCTATGGCCAACATGCTCACCTGCGCAACGCGCTGGCGCACCTGGTCCTCATCCGCCAAGAAATTTTATATACATTTGTACAGGCGCATTTTGCGAATCGCACGCGCGCATCTGCGCGGCAAAATTCGCTCCTGACTTTTGGGACGAGATGTACGGAGTCTCTATTCGCGAAGTACGACCGGACACATTTGTGCGAGAGGCTGCTTAAAGAACGATATGACTCCGATGATACCCCCGAAACCCACCTCTAGACCGGCAAGGACATATAGCTTCATCCTACCATGCAGGCCCTCCAAGCGATCCACAAGGTCAGCACCTAAAAGTTCATCTGTGATCCTCTTCAAGAACTGCGTGGTTCATTCGCTGCACGCTGCAAGTCTATGTTTCTCCGCTCTGTTCGCTGCTCCCCACGCGCAGTTTTTTGAAATGCCTTAGTTTCCGTTACTGCTCCAAATTCTGCCGGTGATAAACAATCATTAGCCGAATGAATCCTGATACGGTTATAAAACACTTCAATACATTCCAATATTACATCGGCTGCTGCGCAACCTGATGCTCCAGAGCTGCGTTACATGCACCGCACGTACGCATCAGGATGCCTCCCATGCGCCGTCACGTGACGCCACGCACGTATCACACCACGCTCGCCGAGAGACACGTTAGCTCACGTTGCTGCTGCTGCAGCGGCCCCTCCCCACACCCCTCTATGTCAACCTTCAAGCGCTCGAACCACCTTTGGATGGCTCCCTCCAGTCAGTGGGCCGGCCTCGCCGCCTCAGCAGCGACGTCAGCACGGGGCCCCACTCCTCCGTCTCAGCCAGGTAGTGCCGCGGCCTCACCGCTTTCAGCCGCAATGGCACATGCTCCGGTGGTCCACAAGCCAACAGAATGCCCTCATCCAGCACCCCCACCAAATCACAAAGCGCCGCCGCCTCCTCCGCATAGTGGGTTGTAAGAACCACAGCTAGGGATGGCGGTGGTGGCAGGCCAGCCCCGCCACCCACTGCGGCCTCTGTTACCGCCCAGCCCCTGACAGCCATGTTAACTGTGTCGCACATGTCCCTCCGGGCGGGTGGGTCCAGTCCGGCACTGGGCTCATCCAGCAGCAGCAGCTGAGGCCGCCCAAGCAGCGCGATGGCCAGGGATAACTTGCGCTGTGAGCCGCCACTGAGCTGACCCGCGGGTCGGTGGAGCAGCTCCGAAGGCAGCCCGCACCGCGACGCCACAGTGGCCACTGCAGCGGGCAGGACGGCCGATTTCCGACCATTCCCCATGCCATACAAGGTACTGTACATGGTAAGGTGCTCGGCGGCCGTGAGGAAGGGTAGGAGCGGGTTGGTCTACATGCAAGGAGAGGGGAAGAAAGAAAAGATGGAGCAGGGAAAATAGTATAGTATTATATCGCTGCGAGCGTGAGCCGGGATTTAGGGGCAATTGTGTGAAATCAGTTGGTCAGTCCAAAGCTTGCACAAGATAAACGTTAGGGAGTTTACGTCGGGTATAACCGCTTGTAGTGCCGGTGCCGTGCTGCGCGTTTTGTGCTTAGCTGCAGATTATTTGCGAGTATATAAGACATCAGTCGTTACTAATCTTTTGGAGTAATATTTCCTGCCAAACTGAAAGGTTACAAGTTCCGAGGGTGTCCGTATAAAGGTTTACCGGGAACCAGGCGGACCGGGAACGCAGGCACGATTGTCTACTGTACTTTCGCGTGAGACCATCATCCATGCTTCTTATAGCACGAAGTATCGATTTTGTATGCGATAACTCCTCCAAAGCGCCAATAAAATCCAGGCACTCATCTGGCTTGAGCAGGCACATTCCTTCTGCTGCATAACCTGCTCGAGTTAGTGGCCGGGAAAGTAACTGCCAATCCTTAATCATTTTGTGTGCTTCCAGGTAGGATAGTGAACAAGTGCCCTTCCCTGTCACACCTGCGGACATAGAGCCACCCGGGCGCGCGCAGCCTCAGGTCGCCCCGCCACCTCTACGCCCCCTACCACTACACTCCCGCCAGATGGCCGCAGCCGCCCAGACAGCACCGCAAGGGCCGTTGACTTGCCTGCGGAAGGTGGAATGGGGCCAGCGGGGTAATGTGGGTGGCGGGGTTTCACTGCGCACTTCGCAGGCTGCTGCAACAGCGCGCACGGGGAGACGGACAGCCTTTAGGACTTGTGTCAGCATCCTGAGTGTTAAGAGTCAACACTACTAACGCCCCTGGCCCCCTCCGGCCCCGCGCCCTCACCCGCGCCATTGCGGCCGATCAGCGCCAAGCACTGGCCCTCTCGCAACTCAAAACTCAGGCCCTGTAGCGCCCGCACTCTGCCGCGGCCAGTGCCATACATCTGGAAATTCGGCCAAAGCGAGCGGAAGGGGTTGGGGTATTGTGCGGTCCTGTATAATAATGCTTGGAGGAGCTGAGCGGCTCGAGGAGGTCACGTCAAGTCGAAGCCGACGAGAATGAAAATATTTTTATGGATTGATACAAGGGGACTCCTTCACGTGGGGTAGCTCATCCGACCTACCGGCCGCATCCAAGCCAAGAACTTTAAATTCAACAGGACTTCCCACCTCATCCGTATGGCTTCAAATTCCTCCACTCTTTGACCCATCACATTTCCCAAGCCACCAGTCTGCTTAGCCACCCACCCACCTTGTAGACGTCGTGCACCCGCACCAGGCACTCCCTGACCGCCTCCGAATCCTCTCCCGGTGCCAGTGCCTCCCAAGAGGCGGCCCATGCCTCGCGCCCTTGATCACCGGCTCCGGCGCGGGCCTCCGTGCCCCGGCGGCGTCGCGTCCCATTGGTAGTGGCGTCGCCGCCGCCACGGTCGCCGTACTCCGCGTCATGTAATTTGTGCTCATTGCTATCACTTACATGAACCTCACGAGAGAGTACGGCACGCAGCGCCCTCGCTGTCGCCGCCATGCTGCGCCGGGCAGTGCGTACCCACCTGGGCAGGAGGGAGCCAGCAGGGCAGGCGGCTGCGACGGCAGGGAAGAGGCCCCCGCGCGACGCCTTCCATTCAAGCGCCACTAGTACGGTGCCGTACAGAACCGCGTCGAAGGCGAGGTACGACAGATGGTCTCCCAGCACGCTTCTTTGGAAGGGGCTGGGGTTGGAGGGATCTGGGGCGGCAGGTGGATACCATCAGCGCGTGAAGGGTTGGGAGAGAATGGGAGTAAGGGAGGTGCCGCTGGGAACCGTACTGAGTGAAACACCCCAGGGGGTCGATATCGCCCGGGGCATCACGCACGCAACACACCCAGACCAACTTGCCACACCAGCTGCCGCCGTTGGTACGGAGATCCAGCGGGAGTACAGCGTAGGTGGACGGCCCGACCGCCTGTCCGCCTAACCAGGTACCTATCTCAATGGATCCTCTGAGGCCGCCTGCTTGTGCCCAGCACCACACATCCGGTTTGCATTCGCCCTCAGGCCGCGTTTGGGTTGTATATTATCATTTCCTTATTGACACACACACACCCGGTGTTGCAGCTCCCAATACTGGCTCGGGCCCCCGGCCCTGCAGCACCCACCAATGCCCACAAGGTGGCCTTCAAGAATGCTGCGCACCATTCCCTTCCTGGACGCGTGCTTTCCCAGCAGCTCGGAGAGAGCCAGGATGACGTCCAGCAATGACATCTAGCACAGGGGAAACGGGACGAGGCGCACGGCGGAATAATATTGTATCCACGAAAGCCGCAAGGAGGTTCAAGTCGACCTTGCACATTGAACAGTTGACCTGCAGCGCTTCCCCAACTCAGAGTTCCTCCCGCTCAACCGCGAGCCCCCCCTCCACCTGTATGAGCCCCCCCTCCACCTGTATGAGCCCCCCCTCCACCTGTATGAGCCCATCCACAAGGCAGAAGGGCGGCAGGAGCCTCAGCAGCGGCAGCATCATGTTCCCCAGCCAGCTCCAGCGACGCACGTGCGCCAACACTTGGCGAGCCAGAGCCAGTCCCACACCCGTCAACAGGCTCACTGTGGACACCAGGCCCTGCAAAAGGGGGGAGTACAGAAGGGCTTCAGCACTGAGAGGGAAGAAGAGTTCGCGATGCATGGTAGACGACGTGCGTAAAGAAGGTGGCAAGGGAGGGTCGCCGCATTTCCCCCCTAGCTAGCTAGCTAGCTACCTGCGCTGACGCGGGCTTGGTGCAGTAGAGGCCGATGCAGTAGCCCCAGGGCAGAGACGCGGACGCATAGGCCATCAGCAGTGCGGCCAGACCTCCCAGGCGAGGAGGAGTACCGACGAAAGCCTCCGTGCCGCCGAGCAGCATAAGTCCCAACACGGCGGCCGCAACGATGGCGTGCAAGGCCAGATCGGCCAGCCAGAAGGACAACCTGGAGCGTGGGTGGGGTGGTAGCGGCTTACGGCTCTTGGAATAGTGTCGTCTTCGGTTTGATACATGCTAGGCTCACTCATACAATAGGTTGAGAATGGGTTTCTTGGACGGAAGCGATTAATGAAGTGCGGCGGCATTGGGGTCGACTGATGGGAAGAAGGATGGGACCGTAAGGGGAAGACAGGATATGATGAACGGTAACGGTAAGCGAGACCAATGGTTAGCTCCGTATGCCGGCTAGGGTAATGCACACAATCAGGTGAAGCGTGGGAGCCGTCGCCTGTCTGCACCAGGTTACTTAGACCCAAACCACCGCCGCACCAGTACGATAGCGGCGAAGCCCTCCCTGCCGCCAGTTGCTGCTGCTTGGCTCCCGATGCCGCCTCGGATGCGGCACGGACAACGAAGCTGCCTAAGGGGGTTGCCAGTTGCGGAGGCAGAAGGGCAGGGAGCGGTAAATGTGGAATAGAGTCAGTACGGAACAGAACCGCAGACCCAGATGTGGCAAGAGGCTGGGGCTTCAGCGAAGGGGGTTCGATCAGCAAAACAACCCACCAAAAGCCCGAGGAGGAGGTCGCAGAGGACGGTTGGAACGAGGAGTTCAGCCGGGAGGGGTGGAAGTGGGAGGCAAGAGAAACACGCGCTCCCAATCACCTGTTGTGTAGCTGAGCGGCAGCGCCACCATGAGCGCCAACAGCATGTGGTCCAGCAGCCCCGCGATTGATGATGTGGTACCACGGGCGGGAAGCGGGTGGTTGTGAACACGGATAGGCGTACTGCTGTATACGACCTGACCGTATAAGCTACGATCCTTAACACCGGGATACTGTTGGTGATGGTAACTATGTTGTCGTACTGGGGAGGTAATGTTGTTGTCGAGTTGTGTGTTTGCGTGGACCGCTGAACGCAGGCGCATGATGGTGTTGTGCAGGTGGTTCAGGACCGCGGGCGGGCCGTGGGGGCTGCTCACGTTCCACATAAGGTTGAGGGCGGGCAGGCTGCGACGAGCCTTGTAGCTCCGAAATAGCTAGGGGGCGGGGTAAGGAAAGCGGGAAAGGAGGCCGACTAGTCAGTTCCTCCTCACGTTCTATTTCAGTGCGAATGAAAATTAGTAGCCCAATGCCTCCTGGCCCAATAGAACTCGGCACACACCCTCACCTGTGCGCTCGTGTGCGAGTGCTCCACCAGGTGCTTCGCCAGCGAGCAAAACCGCTGCTCCGGGGGCAGCAAACCCGCCAATAAATAGAGGCTGACGTTGAGGGATGGGCGAAAGCTGGAGGCAGGAAGGGTGTCGGTGTTGAAGAAAGAAATAGTGCGCAGTGCGAATAGCAACAGCCCCGCCTCTTATTATTGAACTCGTCAAACAAAACAAGCAGTACGATGCCCAGGCCCCGTTGGATATCAGCAGGGGTTGCTGCAATCGTGTGGCTGGACTGCCAACCTAAAGTACCTGGCCACCGAAAAGGATATGGCGATTTAGCACACAATTGTCCATGATGGTCTGTGCTGCGCTGTAAGGCAACTACTCCACAATCCCCATGCCTCCCGCCCCAGCGGCCCCAGGGGGCGACCACATTGACCCACCTCATCAACAGTCTCCGCCCATAGCCGCCCCTACGCACTTTCCCTCGGCCTCCTGTGTCCTGCTCCATTCCTGGCACCTCAAGCTGGCACAGATCCAACGTGTTTCCCAGCTGGAAGAAGGAAAACAGACCAGCAGCACTGCGGCTAGCTGGTTGACGGCCAAAAGTGGTGTTGCCCAAGCTGGCCTCGCCCGACTCCAATCCTTGGGCGCTGGGGCTGCTGCCCCCGCTTTTGGCCCTGCTGCCCGCGCTTTGGGCGCTCCCCCGCACGTAGCGTACAAGCGATATCACCTAGTGAGGTGAGGTGAGGGAACATCGAGAGTTGAAACGACCTAGGATGTCCCGCGTCAAACACATGCCGCCTGAAGCAGACAGTCCCTGAGGCTTCAGATCCTATATGTTTACATACCTCATGTAGCAGTATCCTGTCATACAGGAAATCCGCCATCTTCCAGAGAGCTCCCGGCTCCTCCCGCAGCACCTTGAGGTCGACAGACGTTCAAAGGAAAGTTGGGGTCGCAGTCGCTGGGGTCCCCAGTTACGAAAGCAGCATGGAGAGCGGCGGACGGTCAAGGAGTGGCACACAGGCCGCCTCCCTGCGCAGTACTTTCAAGTCAAGGTAGGAAGGCCGTAAGCACCGCAGCCCAAAGGTTTGCTTTCTTTTCCATGACAGCACAGTTGATCACTTGCCCACAGTCCCCCCTACCTGTGTAGCTTTGTGCAGCTCCGGAAGGTCAACCTCCCCCGCCGGTTCGTAGCCTGTAGGTACCAGCATTGTCTCCAGAACCCATCCTAATGCCGACCATGCCGTACGATTCAGCTGCATTGCTACCGCGTCACCAAAGACCATGGCCGAATGCAGAGGTGGCGAGGGCTCTTCCGTGGCCGCCAAAGCCTTCGCAGCTGCCGGCTCCGTTACCGCGGCCGCAGCCCTGCTCCGACCCCAAAACCAGGTGCTGACGTCGGCGCTGCTGTGGCCCTTATCCGGGTCCTGGCTCCTATCCGCTGCCGCCCGTATCCATTCCGCGCGCAGGGGCACCACTCCAGCCCCAGCCAATCCCCCTGCCTCCATGGCTGCAGCCACCGCCGAAGGAGAGGAGGCGTTCATCGCTGCATTCCACAGCCCACCGCCATCCTGACCACCACTAGAACTGGCGGCTGCGGCTGCCTGCAGCCAGGTTGACGGCAACCCAGCTGTCGGCGTGGGTTGATGCTGTCCAAGCCAAGCCAGGTTTAGGGGTGCAGGAGGTCCCGTGCTGGGTGGTCGGATGCTGAGAGCCACAATGGCCACACCCACCACCACCACGGGTAGCAGCAGCAGGCGAGCGCTGGAGCGCAGGTCTCGGAGCCAGGTAAGCCGCTGCTTGGTCAGAAGTGGTGGCAGGGAAGCGATCAAATCGGCCAACAGGCCGCCGCTGCCCCGGAAGGTACCTGCGAAGCCCGATCGAGGCTGGGGATGGAGCGCTTCCGTGAAGGTGGCTGATGCATGGCTGTGGGAGGTGACAGAGGTGACGGGCTGGGAGGAGGTGCCGCCGGTCGTGATGGTGGCGGAAACGGTGCTGGCGGCCGAGCCCGCGAGGACGGTTAAGCCAGCATTAGATGCACTATTGGGTTGGATCGCCTGTTGCGCCTTGTCCCCAGTGGCCCCGTGCGCCGCCGTACTCGAGAATCTGCCCACGTTCCCAAACGCCCCTCCAGATCCCGATCCCAGGCCCAGCAGCAGCACATCCTCCAGGGAGGGAGGATCCACACCACAGCCAGTCACCACCAGCGGCTGAGCCTCCCACCCACTGCCACACTCCAAAGCGGGTGCGGCTGATGGCTGGGCACCGCCGAGTGTTGAGGTGGCGATGGCTGCGACCGGCCCTGAACCCGCATCCCCCTCAGGTCCTTCGCTGGGTGGCTGCTGCAGCTGCAGCTGCCGCACGAGCGACTCCAGGTTGTCCAGAGAGGCCCCACACGAATCCGCCGCCGCCGTGGTCACCGACTCCATATACACCGCCGTGAACGTCCAATTGCTGTACAATACGCGTGTCGACATTACCCCGAGATGTCGTACAATCATGTCTCGCAGCTGGGACCTGGTGAAGACTGGGCCGCCAGTGGCAGGGTGAGCGGGAGGGCCCAGCGGCGGCGGCGGTGCCGGGCGGGTGGTAATCCTCAGGACCCGTTGTGCCCCGTCCTTGAGGAGGGAGTGCAGCGCCGCTGCGGACTTCAGGGACTCCAGACGGCCCTGCGGTAGCAGTGGTAGCGGGGGCTCAGTCAGTGGTGGCGGAGCAGGTCAGGATTAGGGAGCTGTAGCAGTGCAGCAAGGCCCCCAGCTCCTGAGAACATCCAGGCAGCTCTGCGGACTTGTTCAAGTCGGCTCATCTGCGGGGTCCCGCCTGCTGCTGCGGCGGCGGTGGGGCTCTGGAGTTGGGGCAGCAGCAAGGGAGCATGCAACGGGCCAAATCACAAAACGACCTGCTTTCCCCTCTTTATTTTCTCCCCCTTTCCCTGCCGAACCCCTACCCTTGCCTAATCTCTCCAACACCGTCCAGTTCCACTTCCCCCACCTGCTCCATCACCGCCAGCATATCCGCCAGCTTCTCAACCTCGGGCAAATGGTGGCTGATGAACAGCAGTGCGGCGCCACGGCCTGCGGGTCGGTCAGGGTCTTCACCCGCGCCCTTGACGCCCCGTGCACCACCTCTCCGGGCGCCCTCACCCCAGGGGCCCTGCTTGGCGGCCAGTAGCGCCCCCCAGATGCCCTGAGGGGGGAAATGGGGCGGGGGGCTAAACGAGCGCCGATGGCAACAAACGAACTGAGCGAAACCCAGTTAGGGAGCAAAATTATAACCCTTTTCCACCATTTAATACAGCAATCCCCACATTTCCCCCTAGGGCGGACCAAAACAAGTGGGGATCAAAACCGAATCGGGGTGACACCCCAACACAACATCCCTTTCCGCCGCTCCGCACAACAATCCCCCCCAATCCTCCTCCTACATCCCCGGCTCCCACGCGCCTGGCGGCTCTCCGCGTCGACCCCCGCCGTCATCTCATCGAGCAGTAGCAGTGGGGGCTCCCCCGCCATTGCTACAGCCAGCTGCAGCTTACGGCGGGAACCGCCGGACAGTTGGCAAACCCGCAGCTGGTGGGGTTGGGGTTGGGGTCAGTCAACCGGTCAGTGGGGATGGGCACCGCGCAGGTAACGGCGCACCTAAGGTGCGAACAGGACGGCGCAACAGAGATATATGGCAGGCCATTTTCCCATCCTGCATGTGCTGCGCGCCTTCCATCCGTACCCTGAGACGGACGACGACCCCCAGGCACCCCCACAAACACACACAAAGTTGAGGACTCCCCGAACCGATGTTATGGAGGCACCGCTGGTGCGGTCGAGTCACCCCCAAAACAACCATGCAGAAGTTCACATTCGCCTCCACACGCCCCAACACTCACCTGCAGCATATCCTCCGGCAGTGACACCCGCCTCGCCAGCTGGGCTGCCGCAGCGCGCAGCTGCCACCGGCTCCGAAACCACTGTCCCAAGGCGGCGCAGCCCCACAGGCCTCCTGTCCTCTCGCCAGCTCCAATCCCTTCCCCTCCCCGCAACGTCAGCGCCAGCTGCAGGTGCTCCCAGGCCGTCAGGTCGGGAAGCTGCGCGGAATAAGGTGGGATGCGACAAAAGGGAGCGTGGAGTAGGAGCTAGCTGGGGCATGAATCTGTTATGAGGGCTTGTTGGGTGTCATGCAGTCCTGGGCATTGGACAGCTCCGGAGGGCGAGCTGTGTAACAGAGAGGGCAACAGGGAACCACTACTCGTCAAGGTGTGTCATGGCGAAATTCGCTGTTGCTGCACCCTGTTGCTCTGTTTTCATCATCTCGCTGCCCCTCGCCGACTTCCGTGGACCCCCCCCCCCACACACACATCCTGTCGCCCTCACCAGCACGTCCCCCTGGGGGCAGTAGCCCAGCTGCTGATACGCGCCGCCACTGCCGTACATGCTGCAACCGCTCACGCGTACGGTACCTCCGCCACTAGGCGTCATCCTGCCGCAGCCCACTGCCATCAGGGTGCTCTTGCCCGCTGCATTGCGGCCCAGGAGCGCCACCGCCTCGCCTGGGAGGGGGGAAGGTGGAAGAGTTGGGGAGGTAGGTAAGGAGGGTGGGCTCCGGGGGCGGCACATGCAGCCCAGCCCACCTGCTCGCATGGTGAAGCTGACGTCATCTAACGCCGGGCGCACGGCTCCCCTGTAGCGGTGCGTCACGCCGCGGAACTCCAACACCGCCGTACAATCAGCTCTGCCAGCCGCCTGGCTGCCGCTGGCCCCCGGGGCAACTCGACTAGCTGCCATCTCCCGCAACGCCGCAAGAGCTGCTGCCACCGCCAAGTACAGTACGGCATCCAGCAACAGGAACCCAATCAGCTCCACTGAAGACAACGGCCCATGGGTCGCGGAGCCCCACTCCAGGCCCGGTACGGCAGTGATCGACCGATCACCGCCGTACCGCCGCAGCTGATGCCCCGCCGCCATGCGCTGGAGCAGTACAGACAGCGCGAATGGCCACATCAGGCAACATGTCCGCTTGGCAGCGAGCAGCTGCGTGGGGGCTACGGGGGGCGTCGGGGAGCCGGGGGCGATGGGTTAGGGGGACAGGAGCTCGGGAGGGGAAGACACCGAAAGATATCGAACTCAAATTGCCCCAGCAAGGAAATAGTCGGGCAGCAGTCTACACTGCTCTTTGAACCTCCCCAGGTAACTGTAAATCCGCGACCCACCTCTGCCTGTCTCAGAACCTGGTGGCACTATCCGCCACAACCACCGGGCCCATTCTAATCCCGAGGTGCTGGCACGTACCCGTATTGTACAAGGCCAGGAAGGGCAATCCGGCCGCCAAGGTGACCGTAAAGCTGCCTGCGGGTGGAGCGGGGGGCAGCAGGTGCTGATGGCAGCTCCAGTTGTGGTACGTGAGCAGCAGTACCATTAGCAGCAGTAGCCGCAGAGCCCTCGCAGGGCCACCTGCACAGCCCCACCCCGAACCCACTCCACATCTCAGCCCCCACACCTACCTGTGGCCGCCACTTTGGCATCTTGGAAGCAGCAGCCCAGCAGCACTCCCCACGCCGCTGCCGCCATCGCCGCCGCCGCCATCACCGTCGCTAGCAGCCCCGGTTGCACCAGGTGCAGGTACGTGCTGCCGGCCAGGAGAGCCTCCTGGGGACAGGGAGGACGGGGGCCAGGGGACGGGGCTGAGCACGTGCAACACGGGCTCCACCGCAGTACTGCACTGCCCCGTAACAGGCAAGCTCCCCGCCCCTCCACAACCCCTTCCCACCCGCCGCCGCCACCACTCACCGCCCCGAAGCTGGCGGCCAGCAGGGCTACCCCTGCCCACATCCAGGCCAGCTGCCACTCCCAGCTTGACAGCCCCACCACCCGCAGCAGGTGCTGCAGACCCGACTGCCGCTGTGAGGTCATCGACCTGATGGACGGGGAAGAGGGAGGTTGATAACACGGGTGCGACATGGAAGTGACAACGAGGATGGGCAGCAGGAAGGGCTTGACTGGTAACCACTTCCCCCTAGAGTCCCCCTGTCCCGCCCGCCCCCTCCCAGCCACCTCACCTGACCAGCATCATCAATGGCATGGAGAAGCTGCAAGTGGTCAAGATGCCAAGCAACGGGGCGCCGTACTCGTAAAACGCGTTCACCTGCGGCGGGTCAGTAAGCCGGCGGGTCAGTTCGGGAAGGGGCGGCACCACCGTGGCCGCAAGTGCAGCGGAGAGCGAGAGAGCTGTGGGACAGAGCCAAGCGAGGTAGGGGGGCAGGGTAGCACAGCGTCAGGGCAGGGCAGTGGTGTAAGTGCGGGTGGACGGGCTAGGGGGCGCTCACCATTCCTCTGGGGAACCCGCGAGGTGGTCGGGGAGGCAAAGGTGGTGGGGCCGAACATCGCGCCTAAGGAGAGGTGGGCGGTGAAGAGGCCAACAGAGACAGAAGCACGGCGGCTGCCCCAGCTCGTGATGGCTGATGACGCCAAGCCGTACAACGGTAGATTCCCACCAACAACCGAATCTGTTGCTATTTGATTCCTGAAAACAGCTACACCCGCACTGATTCCCACCCGCAACCCGCCCCACCCGGCCTCAAGTCCACCACCAGGGTCCCCTCCACCGTCCACGCACCTCCTGGCCCATGTTGGGCAGCGGAGTGAACCATATGCCGTACAGATCCGGTGGCAGCACATCTCCGTGCCCGGGCCACGACGATCTGTTGCCCGCCCCACCCGCCATGGCGGCCGTGGGGTTGGGTTGGGTGAGCCAGGCGGTGGCATCGGACCAGCGCCGCTCGCGATCGGCCCCGTCACCACTCGGGCCCAATACGTAGCCGGCTACAGCGGCCTGCGGAGGAGAGCGAGGGTTGAGAGGGGTTGGAGCACGGCAGGGAACTGTCAGGGTTTGTGTGAAGCGGGAACAATCAAGTCGGGGTTGAGCAGGTGCGTGAGCGCGTTGAGGCGTGGGCAGTTAGGTCGGGGAATGGTGTGTTACGACGTCCGATGTCCTGCTCCCCACCCACCCTGCTATGGGGTCATACATCCAGGAGAAGGGCGCGATTGTGCATACACACACATTTACGATGCTGACGACACATGGACACGGACCCCGCTCTCACTCCTTTCCCCCGACTCCACCTGTAACGACATGAAGCCAGATGCCATGTAGGCCAAGAAGTCGCCATTACAAGTCTGGCACTCGGGCTGTAAGTTACATTGCAGTACGGCAGCGGTCTGGGGTTGGTTTTAGGGTGTTGGGGCTTTGCCAGCATGTTAGAGCTCCAGGGGGGATTTGGGGGGGCTTCAGGAAGCGCGATCCTGCTGGGGAGTTGATCCCTTGGCGGCCACAGGAACCGGATCGGTTGTACTCCGCCAGGAGCAAGAGGGGGAGGCTCATGGAGGGACACGTGCCAGCAGGGCTTGCGGGCAAAAATGACTCTCTGCAAGTCCAACGCAAAAAGCTAAAAAATCTTCATGCCCGCTAATGCACCCTCAGCCCTTAAACACCATTCTGTAGTCTTACTGTAACATAGGCACAAGCATTCCTCCGTACAGACCGGTGCTACGTCTCGCTGCACATGCACCACCACGCCGTTCTGTGTCATAAGAGGAGTGCCACCCGCCCACCCACCCCCTTCCTTCCACCCGCCGTTGACCCACCGGCGATAGCTTCGAAAAGGTACCCGGCACATGCATTGCATTCATGCGAATGGCATAATCCACACCGACCCCCGGGTCGGGGCCCGATGTGAACTCCAACACCGCCCACAGCCGCCCGGGCGACATCAGCGCCCGTTTCGGTGCGCTGCCGCCGCCACCTCCCCCTCCATTGTCATCAGTGCCATTCAGCAGGCGACTAGGCCCAGCCGCACGTGGTGCAGGCTCCGTGGCCACCGCCGCTGCGTCCATGGCCGCTGTCACGGAGTCGAACACGCCCAGAAAGACGTCGTCAAAGAAATGGGTGGTGGCCGACATGTGGGCGGCGAACGCACGAACCTGAGTACAGCCAGATGCCGCCGTGTTACTTGGGAGTTTTCGCGGCGGTGCGGTCTACGGTCAGTTCTCTCTTGCCACTCAGTCGGGGCCCCGGTCTGGGCTTCAGGCGTGCCGTTGCGTTCCCCCGGGGGTCGTGTGCTGGTGGTGCGTTACGTGTGCTGGTCGGGCAACTTCAAAGTCCCTTCGGAGGCGCTGACCCGCCGGTGCGTGAGGGGCTTGAGGGGTTAGCATCACCACGGCTGTCTTTGCTGCGGGATGGGGCCTCCGCTGACCCAGCAGGCGGTCACCCGCGTGTCCCGGTCTCAACCCTGACGTCGTCCGGCTGTCAGCCTCATGACCCAGTCAGCCCGGGTCAGCCCTGATCAGGCCCTGGCTAGCAACACTCCCGCCCCTGACCACCAACACGACCTGCTGAGGACTCGTACATCAATGACCGTGAAAAGAGTGATCGCGTATTCGAGGGCTTTCTGATCCGCGCGCCATACATACAGACAGACAGACAGTCAGATATACAGGCAGATAGGTACACAGACAGGCAGGCAAGACACATACGTACCTACCTACCTACCTACGTACATACATCATTCTACCCTGCGAACCGTGGCACAGTTCCATCTTGCAGTGCAAATACACACGGACAGACAGACAGACGCACCTGCGGCGTATCCGGCACGAGTGCCAGCCAGCCGGGTTGCATGCCCGACAAGGGCATTATGGGCAGTAAGAACTGCAGGGTGGCCTATACAGGCGGCGGATGGGTAACGAGTGGTGGGGGGCCGGGGTGCGTCTCGAATCGGCGGCAGTGGGAAAGTTGTGGAGAGTGGGTGAGTTTACGTGCGGTGTAATGAGCGGCCAGGATTTGTTCATTCGGAAAACGCCTTCGGGCTGGGCAGCGGATCGACATTCTGACACAAACCTGCGCTCTCTTTGTGTTCCGGCTTTGGTCCTGCTTTCCAGTCGGGCCCCATACTGTCCCACCTAGGCACCTGTCCTTCCCGCCACTTTCCCTCTGAAAGCCCTTCAAGCGCTCCCCAGTCGGCCCCCTTCCAACTCCCGCTGCATGCCTACGCCATCCAGAACGCTGTATCCTCTGAACGCCGGATCCCTTCAAACATGGCGCTGGGAGCTCCCCATCCCATCCCCTGACCTCACCTCTATCGTGCTTCTTCTGCCACTAGCCGCCAAGGTGGCGTTCAGGGTAGAGCTAAGCAGCAGCCACTCGTCAAAGGTTAGGAGGGCAGTGGGGCTGTAGGCATGTACGCAATAGCAAAGGTTGGGATGGGCTTCAGAAGGGGAAGCACCATCACGGGGGGTTTGGGCATTTCTGCGGACATACGGGCAGTCGTACTAGGGCTGTGTGGACCGTCCATACCTCTTCGAGCTGTTCATGTGCAGGCATGACTCGTGTGCATACATACATACATACAGGCGGGCGGGCGGGCAGGAAAGAGACAGAGACGACGAGTAAATATACCGAGATTGAGAATTGCCCCCCTCCCTCCAAACCTGGTCGGCACCTCAAATAGCCCACAATGCAAGCCTGGCAATCTCTTTCGCCACCAGACTTGGCACTCTTCATTCCAGCACCGAATGCACCTCATCGCGACTGACCCCGTTGCCCGTCTCTTGCTACGGATCCCAATTCGGCCCAACTGGCCCAGTCGCTGCACAACCGCTCTTCATTGACACGCCCGGGTCCCCCTCCCCTCTTCAGGTTGACTTCGCACCTGTTTCCCCTTCGCGGCCCCTCCCCACCCCGCCACTGCTCACCCTAGGAGGTTGTTAAGTAGGTTGATCGCGGTCGGGGAGGAGGCGCTCATCCACATGTCCTGCCACCTGGCATGTGCCAGGTGGTGCGGGTGGGAGGGTGGGTGTATGGGGGGAAAGACGAACCACGAACGTATGGGGGAAAGGGGAGTGTGGTGCTGTGCGCGTGGGAGTCAGTGATGGGGAAAGCGGGAAGTTGAACAGGATGACGGGGTGAACTGACGGGGTTGAGCTGGTGTAGCCGCAACTGCGCCTTGTCGCTGGGGGTGTGTGGACCCACCACATGCCAAGAGAGGGTGGAGGCTGAAGAGGGCGGGGACCTACACCGGATGGGGGCGGTGTGGAAGCGAGTACAGCGCTCTCACCTTTCCCCGCCTCACAGGCACCACCAGGTCATTTCCCACCTTAATTACGAAGGAACACAGGGAACAGCTGAAAGGGCGGCAGCCCTCAGGCACCCACCCATCCACCCAACCTCCTATGTTGCGGACACCAACTGGTAACAGGGTGACAGGGTCGCTCGCGTGCCCCGGCGCCAGCTCCGGCTCCAGCTCCTGCCCCGGTTCAACGGCGGTTCTGCCCCCAGCTGCTCCAGACCGCACCCACCTGCAATCCCGCAGCGCCTCCACCACATCTCGTTTCTTGGTGGCTGCCAGAAGTGACATGACCATATCCCGCCCAACCACCTCCCCGGGGCTGAGCCTCACGTTGGCTGCTCCGCGGTGAGGAAGTGCGTCCCAGTGCCGTTGCCGCCAGAGGCGCCGTTGCCGCTGCTGCTGCTCCTGCTGCTGCTGCTGCTGCTGCTGCTGCTGCTGCACCTCACCGCCACCGCCACCGTGCTCGTGCTGCTGCTGTAGTTGGCGGCCGCCATGGTCGCGTGCCGCTTCCGCGGTCCTTGCTGCACTGCTACGGCTGATGTGCTCCTGGCGCCATCTCTCGAAGCGCCGCTCCGCCTCATGGTCCCTGTGCCGCCGACGCAGCTCTCGCTCCATGGCGCGGGACAGCGGTGCCAGGCAGGTGGGGATGCCGGACCGCCAGCCGGCAAGGCGCAGAATTTCGCCCTCGTTCTGGAAGAACCGCTGGGTGCTGTCCGCGAATATGAGGACCTGACCCCGCGGAGGGGGAGGATCCCGGGGGGTCGGGGGCCCGGAATCATGTTTGCACGGGATGGCCATGGTGGCGGGGTGCGTGGTGGAGGGGAAGGAAACAGAGGAGGGTCGGAATGATCATAGGCTCATCAGGGGAGGATGAGTCAGATCGAAAAGTAGATTGTCGACCGCGTGGCGCTACTGGAGGGGATGTGAGAGCATGGAGATACGAGAGTCGGTGTGGCGGCAAGGGGATATGACCGAGATGTGTGGAGTGTAAGGATAGAGGCGAGCGTTCAGCTGCTGTAAATACATTGTGGTGGCAACAGCGTGGGTGGAATGGGTGCCGCAGCCGGAGTACAAGGTGTTGTCGTACACAAATTCGAGGCCGCACCTGGAACTTATCGACTGTTGATATGGCCCACCCGAGGACGAAAGTCACGAGCCTGCAGACGCCAGCTAGCTTCAGGCATGTGCATAGCACGCAAGCTCGATGCGGAATGCTTACATTATGAGTGACGGGCTCAAGACTTCTGCTGCAAGCAGCCGTGAACCTCTCAGCCTTGCCCGTAGCATGAGCCCAGCAAAATAGACGGACTTCGCCATTTTTTATTTCTCACGATAGGTACGTATCGGGGCCGATGGAAACCTGGTGCGTGACCTCAGCTTTGCCTAGCAGGCACATATGCAAGGACGGGATCGCACTATGTGAAAAATGTTCAGTCTTTCCTAGGACCCACGATCTGCGCATCCTACCTAAGCGCAAGTGTCGCGCGCTCTAAGAAACGCGGATTAAGCATCTCTTCCACAGTTGTAAAGCGTAGGACCTACAATGGGACTACATTGCATGATATGATTGAAAGATGTCCAGGCTGCGATTTAGTGTTCATAAAACATGACAGTACGAGTTGGTAACCACCGGCGCCAACCGACTGCATAGCAACCGGAAGTTCCGGTGCAGCACGTTCCCGGCCTCTGCGTCTCCGCAAGCCCGTACATGCAATAGCTTAAGCATACAATATGGCCATTTCTGCTTGCATGGAGAATAAGTGACAAGTTGCCATGCCGATTTGCGTTGTACGTTAAGCTTGTGGAGGCCTTCTACAACGGGCAGAACCGGAAACCAGGTTAGGGCCCTTCCAGGCCTCCATAGGAGAATTTGAGTAAGATTGTGTACCTCGCAGATAGGTTGGAGGCGACACATCAGTTTGCAAGCGCCAACCAACCATAGGAACAGTTTAGTCACCCAATTTTTTGACCACTACGGTCATTGATCACTTTAGCTCAAAAAAATCGCAAAGATTCAACATGTTGCTTCGCAAAAAAATCTTAGGATTTGGTATTCAGGAGTAAGCCTGAATGTCCATCTACTGGCTACGGCTTTACCAAAGGCTCAATAAGCCTGATGCGGCAAAACCTCCAAGCTTCTCTCGCACCTCAGCTTCGCATATTATATTTCAGGGTCACGATGCGGCAATAATGAGCGGCAGGGTTGACAAGTCGGGTGTCGGCTTCCTCGAAGCCGGAAAAAGGGCGGGCCCCCCCTGCATCCATACAGGGCGGTAGCTAGCGCGGCACGTGTGACAATTGATGGGTAGTGTCAACGTGGTGGGAGATGTGCTTTGTTGCAGCAGTGCTGATGGTGTGAGAGCTAAGCTTGCACCGGCGGAATCGTCAGCACCGCCTGCGGGCTCCACGCGAATCACATCCATCCCGGGTGCATGCCGCATGGACAGTGCGGCAGACCGCAAGTCGGAATGCCCGTGCGGGCAAATGGTAACGAAAGCTGGGTGAATTTCGGTGCTGTCTGTGATGTTTATCCCCGAAGCGCCAGCGGCCTCAGCAATCCGCCCCACAGCCGCGAGCTTCATCGCGGCACACAGCAAGTCTCCGGAGGCCCCGAGCATTGGCTAAAGTAAATGTACAAACTAGCAGCTTGCGTATTACATAGAGAAATGTAAGCAAATTTGTCGGCCTGCTGGTGGCAAGTCGGAATGCCCGTGCGGGCAAATGGTAACATAAGCTGGGTGTTAAAGTTATCATACGCTGTCATCTCGGAAATCAATGATGAGATACACGGCACCTTTTTGAGATGAAATTTAGCCCGAGAGGCGTTGATGTGACTTTGGCCTCGGTCAATTGAGGCAGCCAAAGTTGTTTGTGCTCATACGATTTTTGTTGGCTACAGGCGAGATACCTTGCGATAGAGAATGATATATAGTACCTATAACGCGTTTCAGCCGGGCGAGATATTATGTTTGGTCCGTTACACACACACGCACACACACACAGGTCGGGGCCCCCCTGGGCGCCTCGCGCTGGGGCCCCGCCCAAAAAGTTATAGTTCAAGCTCACACTTGGTGACCTGTGACAGTGCTTCGAGCAGAAACGCATCGCTTACAGACTACATCACTTTCAACACCACACACTTTGCGCTCTATGTACAGCAATAAATGGATACATAACCTACATCTCGACTTTCAACCGCGCCTTCAACCCTTTCACGGTCTAATGGTGCGCTCAGTGTGTCCCACATCACTGGGGATCGTCAGCGGCCCGCCACATAGCAACCGCATCACTGAAGACAGACGCCGGCAAGGTGAGATTCTGCGCGACCTTGCCAGGGCCATTACAAGCGATGCAGGAGCGATAGCCTCACCACTCTGACCCTTGTTCGAACGCAACTGGGAACTGGCAGCTGATGACCTGATGGACCCCCTCAGCAGAGATGAATGCTGAGCCCGAGTAATCCAGAACCCAGGCCTCGCCTGGGTCGAGTACCACAAGCCCCCAAGCCAAGCCGCCTGGGCCGCACGGCACCACAGCAATATGGGCTCATATGCCTTAGAGACTCACGCTACGAGGGCTGTACCATGGACGCAGCATTGCATGAGCCGTCCGGAAGGTCCGGATTCGGTGTGGCTGACGGTGTGTACTTCCAGAAGCCTTCGTTTGGCCGATTTGGCGACGCTTTAGGCGTCCACCGCAAAATTTGACCGGTCGGTGGGTCTGGGGCTTACAAAAACCGTTTCGGATGTGTTTCAAGCGGAAAAAGTCCAGTTATTACCTAAGAATGGCTGGTAAAGCATCGGAAGAATGCTTCCCTGTGGACCGTTGGTTTTGCCACGACTCTCCGCTGTTGATGGAAAACAACAATTCTGGTGGCTGTCTTGTCAACCGCGGCGGCCTTGTCGACCCTTTCCAGGCATTCCTACTCCCGCCGCCGCCCCAGCCTTAAGCTCCCCGGCCGCCTTCGCAACCCCGGCCGCCACCGCCGACCAAGAACGCTGCCGCTGCCCTCGCCACCATCCTCCTCCTCGCCACCCCTGTCAGCTTGATCTTCCCCCCCGCCAAGCTCCCGGGCCTTGCCCTCGCCCAGGCTACCAACCCCTTCCGCCGCGCCAACGCCAACGCCCTGGACCGCCATAGACCGTAGCCGGCGCCCCTGCTGCTGCTGCTGTTGCTGCTGCGGTGCCGCCGCCGCCGCCCTTCCACCCTTGACTGCAGTTGCCGATGCCGCCCCCTCCACCTCGTCGTTATCGTCCTCCTCCGCCTGATTTCGCTGCTGCTGCTGCTGCTGTATGGACGCCGCCTCACCTGCCAGCGTCTCCCGCAGCTGGGCCAGTTTCTTGGCCTTGGCCTCATCCGATAGCGGCTACCGGGTTAGGGATAAGCAGGCGGCAGGGTCCCAACAAAGGCACATGCGGAAGGAAGATCACCGGATGCCGGCAAAAGTGGCGACGGAGGAAATGGCGGCCGCTGGAACTTGGCTGAGGAAACGAAACACGTATATATGTATACACGTGTAGGAGATGTTGAGTATATATATGTATACACGTATATATGTATATATAATATATATACATATATACATATATATGTATATGTACATCTATATATATATACGTATGTATGTATATATACATATATACGTGTATACATATATATACTCAACATCTCCTACACCAGGCCTCGGAACCTCGCCCAGCTACCCAATTCTCTACTCCAGCCTCCCTCTTTTTAAGCCAGCCTCATCCCCCGCTGCGCCAGCCTCGGTCCCACCTTCTTCAGCTTCTCCTCGGTCACCAGATCCAGCAGCCCCTCCGGGGGCGCCACCTCCAAAGTGCGGTTGGTCAAATCCAGTACGGGGCAAATGGCCTTGGCGAAGGGGATCATGCAGTACCTAAATCAAGGACGGACCGGGGGGCCGCGGGTAAGGCGGACGAGGAAGGTCACCTAGCGGCTACTGCTGCCCTACTGCTACAACCCGGACTAACAATGTTGCGGAGAGGATGCAGCTGACAAAGCGGGGTGGGAACTGAAGGTGCCCTGTGTGGGACCAGGTACATGTAGCCCAATGGCCCCCCTGCGTGCCGGTCCCTGGTGCGGGGAGGCACCCAGGCATCCTGGCTGTCTGATGAAGTTGGACTCGGCCCAGCTCAGCGCAGTGCGCCTCGCGAGCCCTCCAAATGGACCTCCCTCCCCGGCCCCACGTTGGGTTGCGGCCCCCACCGGATGCGGGACTTGAGAACATCTTCCTCATTCGCACGTAGCTTGACGCGCAGGGTGTCGTGGGTGCCCATACCGCCGTACACATCCACCACCAGACCAACCATGGACCTTGTGGCCTGTAAGGTGTTTGGGCAAAAGAATTGCTTACAATGCTGTACACCGGAAAGGCAACGTCCAAAGACCGAAATAGCAACTTGCAAATGTTGATATTTGTGAACCCAGATGTGCACGAACACCAAAGGCTATTAAGGTGGGCACTTATGCGCCACACGCCTCCCCCCCATTTCCCACGTCCCCTTGCAACATACGCATCATTTGTATGTTAGAAAGTTGATCATGTTCTATTTCCTGAATTGGCACATTAGCTCCAGTTTTGGTGCTAATCTAAACTTTCAATCTGTGGTTCAATTCAAACTTTAAATTCACCTGGTCAACGCATCGACAACAGGAATCACCGACCCACATCAGCCGCTCCATGAACCCCTAAACGTCCTCCTGGTAACGGAGGCATTTGCCTTCTCTCCAAAATAACCCCGCATTTAAAACCCCATATTACCCTAAACATCCGTCCTTTCCTTTGCGCCCTTTCTCCCCCCCCACCACCACACACACGCACCCTGCTTCTCCCGCACACCCACCTGGTGGATGACGGTGCAGCCAATGATGTCGGTGACGTAGAACTCGTCTGGGTCCCGGAGGGGCCCCCGGTCAGCAGCCGCACAGTACACCAGGTACCCTCGGAGCTGCTCCACCTGGGACCGCAGTCGGAGGCAGCCAGGATAGCGGAGAGGGCGTTACGGACAGGGTGTGAGTGCGGGTGTGCGGCCGTTTTGCGTGGCTCTAACCACACAACACACACAAACAAACAGACGTACATACGGGCGAAACGCCGCGGCGAAAGTAAGACATCCTACAGGCAACGGGGAACCGTCACCTAGTGCGCACTGTCGGCCGATTGTCAGCTGCCCGGGGCACCGACGCCAGCGTCACGATCCCCTTCCCACGCCACGGCTGGCACCCCTCCACCAGTCTTCCTCCCAAAGCAGGTATTCGCTTGCCCCTCTTCCCCACCCGCTCACCTGCGTCCGGCTGGTCACCTCCTCCAGCGCCACCACCCATGCCTCCTCGCCCTTTCCCCGCGGCTGCATCTTGGCGCCCCGGGCCGTCACCTGCGGAACCCGAACAGGTGTCCCACGTGTATGTGTGTGTGGGGGGGAGGGGGAGGTGTCTGCATCAGACAACGGACTAAAGTCAGGCAACAGGTCCAGGGCGGGGAACACGGGGATGGATAGGGAGTGCATAGCCTTAAGGACAGGCGGGGCACCAGGCCAGCCAACTGGCTCAGTGCTGTCGAAATCTGATATCAGCACAGCCGCGACGACGGCATGCAGTATGTCATCCTGTACGAGAAATAACACGGCGGTGACCTGGACTCATTAAGATGCGCTAAACTGCGTCGCACCGGTATGAGAGGCAATGTCTGCAAACCGCTCCCGGCTGAATCCTTGCCTCGCGCGGAGTATGGCGGCAGCAGATACAGCCTGCGGGAGGAGAGGGTCAGGAGGTGATGCGGGTAGAAGTACCGGGTTACGGAAGGGCTATCGGACCAGGTCGGGAGTTTGTTGCTCGAAAGAAAACAGCAGTCGCGGGCCGGCTGCAGAGGACGGAGCCGACATCATTCAGAGACATGGCTGCGGCGCACATCCCGCGTTGATGTAGGAACCTCAGGTTCAAGGCTATGCATTAGCGTGTATACATGCAGTTACTGCTCATCGCTGCGCTGATTACGGTGCCCAGCTGGGCGTTCGGGAAGCTAGCTGCTCAGCAAGCCGACTCGCCGGCGGGCGTTACAGTGCGGAGCAGCAAAGAGTGATCCGTGTTGGGCTGCTGGCAGCCCACCTCTTGCCCGCCCGGAACCTCTCTCGCGGCTGATCTGTGGATAGCTCCAGTCGCAGCTCCCCACGCACTCCGTGGACCCCTGCCACCTGCGCCACTTGAACATACTCGTCCTGGAAGGAGGTGGCCAGGCGGCCAGGTCGGTGGCGGGCGCAGACAAGCAAAAGAAGGGTTGTAGGCAGATAGTTGGCAAGCGGTGGCGGCCTCCGCAAGCAAATAACCGTAATTGCATGTTTCATATTTAGCAGCTGGAAAGCAGGGAATATTCAGCAGATCGAGCAATCCTGTGCGGATTGTGGAGGTAGGGATAGAGAGCTTGCAGGTTTGCGATGCCACCAAAGCAAATAAAGGGCCTGCTGCTATTTTCCCCACCTCGCTGAAGGGGAGGGTGCCCAGGAGCCCGTGGCCGGGGGATTCCGTGTCCGGGCTAGGGGTGCTCGCCGGCCGCGTACTGGCGGCAGCGGCAACGACGGGCATCAGGGTCCAGCCAGCAAGATTTGGAGCCCGGGATAATTTGGGTGCACGGTACCGGCCCATGGTGTGGGCCACGCGCTGGGATATGGCCGTCGGCAGCGGGCAGAGGCATCGTCGCGCAAGGGATGACTCGCCACGAAAGCGCTGCGCCAACTGTTTCTTCCAGAGCGTCATCTTCAATCAGCACCTATATTTCCGCGCAGATATGTTATTCTCTGTGGGATGGTTTGTCCACTTCCAAGGCATTTACCGACGCGGCGGCGCTAAGCAGGCAATCAGGGGGGCCCAGCTGTGCCTAACGATGAGGCATGCTGTACAGGTAAGTGGTAAAAAAATACAGCAGTTTCGCAATGATGTTTTGGGCATATATGGTGTTGTTTTTAGGTTTCGGAGCCTTAACTGTCAACCTTTCCACCCACGCACGCCAGAGCCTTCGAAACAGAACCACTTGAATTGTAATAGAAGAGACCCCTGTCTTGCCTTTTGACACTAAACCATGGAACAGTCACAGCTTGTGACGCAGCGCGGGAAACATTAAGTGCGGAGCCGAGCTCCTTGAATGTTGCCATCATCTGTAGAGGGAGCAATACTTCAGAGCCACCACACGGTCGAGCAACTTAGGAGGGACGGTCGCATTTAACAAGTAAAATGTCTGTCGTGGTGAGCGACAAACATGGCAGTTTGCACGCAAGCAACCTTGGGCAAACAAAGAACTCGTTTATCTCCAGGAAAAAACTGTTGAGCTGCCGGACATTTCGGGTCCTGCCGTAGACGCCGCCTATGATGTATCTGGGCGCCGTATGGCCACCTGCGTCCCCAGCTCGTCAGGGTCCATCGTCCAGGTGCGGCGAATCCTTGTATTCTATACCCAGGGAGTTTGCCGTCTCTCCGGCTCTCAAACCCATTACAGCGCTTCTTCCCCGCCTTTCCCTTTCATTTCGGCTGCGCCGCCGCACTTACGCCCCAGAGCCTATTGAGCATGGCCCCGCGCTATCATCTCCACTGCCTTCCCACCAATCTCATACCGCTTAGGTGTACGAGTGCGCCTCCGGGCCAGACTCCTGGTCGCAAGTTGCAGCCTGGGAGACGGACCTTCAGGTCAACCAACTGACCTGGGCTCATCCCGAGTACGGCAGAGTGCTGGCGGGAGGCACCACCTCTGGCAGCTTGTTGGTGTGGGGACAGGTTCCGGAGGTACAGCCCGGAGGAGGAGCGGTGCCGGGGGCTGGTGGCGGCATTGAGGATGCCAACGGCGGCGGAGGGGGTGCCTACTATCAGCCGCTGGCGGATTTGAGCTGCGGCACGGCGCCATGCAGGTGTTGTCTCCTGCTTGTGGGCTGGCGCAAATGGCCGTGGGGTTGCGCCAGGCAGCTCTAACTGCCTCGCTAGGCTTGACACTGTCAGGGCATCTTCTCATCCTCCCGCCACCGGGTGCCATGTCTCGAATCATGAAACTACTAGAGGACGGGGACTGAATGGGGTCCGCTGCGCGCTGTGGCGCTCAGGGTCATTGTTCTAGTTCCCTTTCGGCCCTCCTCCCCGCGCCTGCCTTGCTTGCCATGCTGCACTCGCCTCCACCTCGCAGGGCGTTATGCTTCGCACCCCGCCAGTCGGGCCTCCTGCTGGCGGCCCTCCTCGATGACGGCCATGTGGTGGTGCACGTGGCGGACGAGGTGCTGGCGCCCAGGGCATGGAGCCTGCACAGCAAAATACGGGTAAGAGGTTCAGCTTTAAGGGGTTGGGCTGGGCTGCCTTACTGGGATGGGTATGGGGAGATGTACGGGGAAGAGTGTGTACAAAGCTCATGGCGGCAAAGCACTCCAGCTCTGATGTGGTTAGCCCAAGTATGATAGTGGTAATAGCTCCGGATCGGCGCTGGGGTCCCTGTTGGAAGTGGCTCCTGCCTTTCAGAGGAGCGCCTGGCCAGAAGGTGTCTATGGTTGGTGCCTTAGTTGGGTTCTGACACCACAAGCACCCATTTTCCGTCTTCGTCACGCTCTTACATGTCTCACCTGCATTTCTCAATTTTGTACACGGTAATAAGTTCAAGCTCCAACCGTCGAGCTCCGCTTAACTCCTTGTCTGTCAGCGTCCGGGCCGTGACAACGTGTCGGCGCCCGAGATTCCATTTGACACTGCTCGAGTCTCTCGCCAAGGTCCGTGTGCCATTCTTCATGACCGTGATCTGACTCTACCTGCCTCTACATTGGCCCCCCCCGTCCGACTTCATCTGGCTCCCGCAGGCAGGTCCTCGCGACCACTGCGGCGGTCTGTGCTGGCGACCCTTCTCGCCTGGAGTGCCGCCTATGCTGTGTGTTGGCAGTGGTCCACACGTGCTGGTGTGGCAGTATGTGCTGGCGATGCACTCGTGGCAGGTGCGTGGGAGGGAGGGGCGGGCGGGTAAGGAAGAAACAACTGGAGCCCCTGAAGTCCACCTATGGCGGCATCTTTCTTAGGCCCGTGCTGGAGACTTGTGAGGCTGTGCTGCAGAACCGCGGTGACGGGGGTTGGCGCCCTGTTTAATGGGCTTCTGATCCAAGCTCTTGTGGGGTACGGCGATGCCTACACGTCTCCACCCATTGCACGCGGGCCGTAGTGGTTCAACGGTGGGCGTTGTATCGTCGTGGATTCCTCCCGTTCCCACTGGCGGTGGTAATACAGGGGTTGTCCTTGTGTGGCCTCTGCATGCTTTCCTAGTCACCGCGGGTCCCAGCCCTGGTCCGCATTTGCGAAATCGTAGAATGCACTCGTGTACTGTGCTGTTCCGTGCCAGCAACCGACTCTCTGACCGTGTGTAGCCTTGCTTTTCGCATTCGTAATGCCTGCGGCCTCGCCATTCTCCTTCTGCTCATCGATTGGGGGCTTCATTGGCATCGTGCACACACGCTGCCGCGGGTGCTCGTTTTTGCACGACTTGATGTGCCCGCGCAATTGCATGTCATGGTTACGGCAGATCGTGGCACGCATCGAGACGGGCAACGGCCAGCACGTGTCCACGTTGCACTGGGCAACCCCGCTTGGGCGGCCAGTGGAGCTGCTGGCAGTGGGCTCGGGTCGCGATCTCCTCATCTACAGTCTTTCTGGCGACACCTCGGCGCTGAAGGTGGAACAGCTGGAAGCTCTGGAGCACGATGACGCAGTTTGGAAGGTCGAGTGGGACCTGTGGGGCAACCAGGTTGCGGCGGCGACGGAGGGACAAGAGGTTCACGTTTACAAGCCTAACCTGGTTGGGGAGTGGGTGGAGCTAGCGTGGGTGCGGGGCCGGGAACCTGAGGAGCAGTAATTTGCGAAGCGAGCCTTTCTCCGGTGCGCCAGTGTTCGGTGTTCGAATTTTTCAAACACTCCAGTCCCTGGCTTGAAATAGACGTGTAGGTTGACGTGTCTTGGAGTTTGCTTCCGCTGCGGGCGATAGCTCTTCAGGGTTCGTGTGCTGCGGCTGCCAACAGCAGCCAAGTTGACCAGCAATAAAGTGGCGATCCAGTTTGTACGACTTTGGTTAAGACGAGCACTCTGCTTTGGGCTGATGAGTACATCCGTTTCCTTATTGCGCTGCGTTGGGCTGTGTGTTGTGGGGCCTGCCTGCGGGCGTTGATTGACCTGGCCGTAGCAGCACAGGGAAGAACGGACAGGCCATCTGAACGTTCAGTCGCTTGCAACCTCATCTTGGGTATCAGGACCTTATCCTAGGCACAGCCAGTCAACGTTGCTGGGTAAATTTCTGGAGGGCCCAGTCGGTAAAAGGCATCATGTTGCCGACCTTTACCGAGAGGCAAGACATATACTTGGGAACGCTGTCAACCTAGTATCGAATTGGAAGCCCTGATGGAATGCCCGAATCGCCTGATTGATCTTGTAATGGGTGAATCCGCTCTGGGGTGAATGTTACATGGGCCGTACTAAAAATAATCTGTTTCATACACAGGGAGAGTTCCATCCCAGAAACACCGTAAACCACGGGAGAGGCCGTTAACTCTATGCGGATGGCCAATTACGGCCTCTTTCAACTGCCTTTTAACTAATCCTGGTTGCGGCTAGGTTACGGTAACGTCGCCACGTCCCAGAAAGCGAAGTATGTAGAATCATATAGCCATGCTTTCGAACGGACCTGATATCGCATAAACTTAGCTCGTGGCCCGTTCCTGATGATTTGCAGTGAATGCAGGTTTGTGTGCATTTCCAAGCTTCCAAGCTGGCGTGCTGGCTAGACTCGTAAGCCCCTTAAGGCCCAGACGAGCCAGGACGCTCTAAATTGCGAGGTCTAGCGTAGTCCAGCATTCTAAAAAGCCAACCTTTATATGTCTAGTTGCTTTTCCCAGAATGCGAGTTTCCGCGCGAACATGGTGAACACGTTTCTCTAGCGTGTTTTCCATACACACCAAGTTGTAACCACAAAATTGTACAGTTTTTAAATGTTGTGTAGCTCTCCATGAAGGCTAGTGCTGGGCCGAGTCGCGTATGAATGGGGAGATGAATGGGGAGATGGCCATTTCACCTTGGGGTAAAATGACGAGCATTGGATCCTAAAACTGTTCGCGAACTCGGTCCAAGTTTTAAAATTTACCTCCGTACAGCGTATGTTAAATCAATGTTGACTCACCGCAACTGCAGTTATCCCCTTTGGGCGCTAGCCTGGGCCGATAGTGCGGTGTTTCCTTTTCTCCGTGGTCATAGGCGTTTTGGTGTTGCCCTTGGGCCTTCGGCTTATACTGGTAGTTTTACAGATATGGGGTCAGGCCAACCATGTAACACACACACAACACACACACACACAACATACACACACAACACACACACACACACAACACACACACAACACACACACAACACACACACAACACACACAAAAAAAATCAAATTTAGTAGATTTATACATGGACAGTCTTGTTAGAAAATGTTTCGTCTGTCAGCGTCCACCAGCCAGCACAGTAGCACGCAGCAGCTCAGCAGGCAGGTCTTTGGTCGCTTTACTGAACCAGGTGTAGACAAGGCACTTCTTCTGCATGGTTAGGCATTCCATAACGGTCAACCGAGTCTTGTCCCGGCGGGTAACCGGTTGGTAGGGTGACCCATTGGTAAGGTAACCCTTCGGTGGGGTGAAGGCAGGTAACTCCTGGGTAACCCTGCCGAGGCCCCACCCTACCGACCGGTTGGGCCCGGTTACCGGTTGGCGACAGGTAGAATGTATACCATAGGGAAGCAGAAAAAAACGAAAGTACGCAAAAGTAACTTCCTTAACCTGCAGGTGGGTTAGCCTGGGTGGAAATCCTGCCAGCAAGCTTGTTATGACACGCGCCACAGTTTCTGGCCGTATGCCTTTGGGGTCGACGGCAAACGCTCCATGGTGATTTTTAATACTGTTTAATTAGGAAGCGATGTTTGCCGTACTACTTTGTCGGCTAGCAGGAAGTGGCAATAAAATTAGAGCTCACCAGAAGACGAACTCCGATGTTTTATGGCATTTCTTTGGAGGACACTACCGTGGAAATGTAAGTGTGAGAAAGAAGAACGACAACAACCGAACATTTTCACGAGTGTCTGGGACAAAGAGAAAGTGAGCAGGGACCGAACCACGTCGGGCAGAAAAAATGAGGATTGGGACCGGGACAGGGGGAGTAGGGGGTGCGTGGGGGCCTGAGGGGGGGAAAGGGCACGAACATCCGCCCAGTAGGTGTGACACAGGATGACATGGTCAGTGAGGTATTATTGGTGCAGAACCTCCAATTTCGCTATTGCATCATATTTCCCCATCGCCGACTACCTGAAAGGCACACCCTTTTGCATTTCCCCGTCGAAGGTTATTGCACCTTTGGCTGGTGAAAATGGAGACAGGGCCAGCACTCTCAGGTCCCTTCCACACAGATCCAGCTGTGGGGCTCTGTGCTGCACTCTGGGCCTCCATTCAAGTTCGGATCCTATCAGCAGGGGCTTTCGGGCCCCTCAGCGGTGACCCGGCGCCAGGGCCCCCCTTGCCTCCCGGGTTTTGCTCATTTCGCTTATTGCTCCAGAGCCCGCCTCGCAGGGCGTTATGCTTCGCACCCCGCCAGTTGGACTCATGCTCGCGGCGCTCCTCAATGAGAGCCATGAGGCGGTGCACATGGAGCGGAGGTGTTGGCCCCCAGGGCATGGAGCCTGCACAGTAAATTGTGGGTCAGAGGTCCCTGGCAGGGCTGCACTGGCAGGGACCTGGGAGCGTATGATTGGGCCGGGCCACACTACTGTGGGCAGGTCCCTCACCATGCCTCCCCACCCTTATCCCCACTGCATTACACGTGGCTCCACAGGCATTTGAGCTTGCAGCAGGTGCATGGGAAGAAAGCCTGGAACGTCGATGATATACAACATATGCCTGCCGTTCGCACTTGCAGAGCATCTTGCTTGGATCTTGCCGGTTGGGAGTGCAGTAATTCGACTTGCTTCATCCGGATACGGCTCTTTCCTGACCATATGCTATGCTACCAGCTCGCGCGTACCCGTCTTCGCCGACCCTTTCACCCGGGGAGTTTACTGGTGTTGCGGCAACGCGCCGCCTCGAGGTTTCGCATTTGTACGGTTAAAGAATGTACAGTGGCAGTGGGTTCGGTTCGCGGCCTCCTCATCTACAGTGTTTCTGGCGACACCGGGACGCTGCAGGTGGACCAGCTGGCAGCTCTGGATCACGATGACGCAGTTTGGAAGGTCAAGAGGAACAACCGGGTAACGACAACGACGGACGCAGCTAGGTTACTTTTACGAATCTAATTTAAATGGAGATTTGGCGGAGTTAACGTGACCTGTGGCAACAGGAGCCAAGACATCACAGTAGTAAAGACCATATACAATTTTCCTACTTCAGTATAGTCGATCTCTTGTAATGCCACCATCCCATGAATGGAATTGGACTGGACCAATTACTCATTGCTGCGCATGGCAGTCGATGTCCGGGCACCTGGGTAAACAGCGAATTGAACGGCGATCCGGTTTGTACGATGTCGGTTAAGAAGTCAAGGAAGCCCAAGACGAGCACTCGTCTTCAGCAGGCGGAGATATCGGTATTTGCAAGCAAAGAAATTTTGGCTCTTGACGAGCCTGCACGCCGGCGCTAAATAGCCCGGCTTGTGAAACACGGACAGGTATATACGGTATGGCCACCCAAAGATTTCGTTGAGGTTGTCCTCAACCTCACTTTTGGTTGAGGATCAAATCCTAGCTTAGGCATAGGCAGGTTGTGTAACTTGTAGGGATCTGCAGATGGCTCGGTCTGTAGAGGACCCCCGAAGTGCCTCAGAGTCGTGGGATGATGACGACGAGGAGAGCGAGGAGTTTCTAGGGGCAAGCTTTTTTCCGCCTATGCAGAACAGGTTGCTCACAGGCGAGATACTTGGGAACGCCCTCCGCGCCAACGACCTACGAGTGGCACTAGAAGCCCTGGCGAAATACACAAATGATCCGACAGTGGAGTAAGTCCTACTGATGGCGGTTGCGTCGTTGCGGAACGTGGTGGCACAGGCTTGGGTGTAAGGCGCGCGAAACGCGGGGGCTCCAACTTTCGGTTGCAGGTTCATCAACCAGGACATCCTTCCACCTGGCTGGGATGATGCAAAGGAGTTTATCGGAGTGGTGCTTCAGAGTGCTGTGGACAAGTTCTACCGAATGGACGCCTTCCTTCGCGTGCATCAGGACTATCCGGAGCAGCTGTTTGCCTGCATGTACTACCTCTGTTACGCATGCACCGGCTTCACAGTCATCGTGGCGGAATCATCTGCAGTGTTTGGGGACGCCCACGACCAGGAGCTGTGCGGCCTGCTTAACGCCACCTACAACATGCTCGACAGCCGTGCAGCCGTGTACACGCTACCGTGCGTGCGCCAGATCCCGAACATCGATACGCTTTTAGACCGGACCGAAAGCTTTTTAATGGCGCAGCCACCTGGACAGCTCAGTGGTGGCGAGTCAGACGACGACGTTGCGGAAGCCACAGACGGTGTCATCCACGTGCGCGGTGCAAAGGGAGGCAACCAGTGGCAGGCATACTTTGTTCAATTGCTGCTGGGGACGGGCTTCGTTGATAGCGCAGTGAAGGTAAAACCAAGTCAACGGCCGGCGGGGTTTGGGAAACTACTGCGAACGACGCGTCAGTGGTAACCAACGCGTCTGGGTCAATGAGTCATTTTCGTTCCGAAACCTCAGTTCTAGGCTCGAAAACTGGATGAAAGCTGTGCTGGAATTTCCAAACCCTTTCAAGAAGTCCTCGTTATCATTGGCCGTGCACGCTCCTCGATGGGTTACAGGAAAGTTTGAAAGCCGGGGACCTTGAAACCTAGGAAATGGCTACACCCACCTCTGCCAGCAGAATAGCCTAAAGCTGGACCACCACCCAACTTCTGCACACCCATCCGCCTCGTTTTCCGTTTATGCCCGTAGATTGTCGTATCATCGAATCGTGACACTCATACCACACTTTTTTGTTTACATCTTGAATTGTTGTACTCTTTAGGTAGGTGTTTTAACCTTTAAAGGGTAAGGAGCCCATAGCTATATTCCCCTGTTACTCGAGAAGGTGCTGTGCGGTCTCTCAATTCAGACGCTGAATGCCGCCTTCCACCCGCCATCCAGGATCTCTGCTTGACGCTTCTACAAACCCTTGGGGCCCTACGTGGCATGCGATTCGCTGCCACCTCTAGCGCACAGCAACCCGCTGTAATCCTACAATTTCTACCTAACGGGCCCCGCCCCGCCGCGCCTGCAGATCTTGAGCGGGCCGCGACTCCACACGATGCAGCTGCACAGCGCCTTGCTGGGCTTGGTTTCCCTGGTAAGTGTCTGGGTGTGTGTCCACGGGACTTGTTGGCTGCCCATTTGCCAGATGTCCCAAGTGGCAGATGGTATTGGC